ATATATACACACACACACACACACACACACAAGTGGAGTTGTTATACAGAATCATCACATGAAGACCTGTGGAATATAAGAAAATACTGATACATTTATCAGAAGACTAGGACTAAAATCTCGGCTGTATCACTTTTTAGATGTGTGATTTTAAACAAGTCAATTATACTGAGACTCAGTGTCTTTCAGTTATAAAGAATATCACACAGAAAGTATGTTCATCTGAGGATTAAATGTCATATTATACGTCAAAAATGTGTATACTACAGCGTTCAAGAACTCTGACTTTGCTAAAAACATTTAATAAAAACATTTTTATTAATGAAGCATAAACATTAAGTAATTTATGACATACATTATTTTAACAACTTAAGAGCTACTGAACTTCATCAATATTCCCCTCAAAATAACACAAATGCAAACTGTTGGAGAATGACCATGAGTTTAAGTTCAGAAGAGAAAAAGAAAAGCTGAGATTATTTCATAAACATGTCTTTGACACAAGAGATACAGCTCTTTATCACTTGTAAGTACTTGAAAAAATTTATATTCAGGTCTACCCATATTATAGTTTTCAATTTCTCTACAATTAGTGAGTGCAATGTACTTATTTAATGGTGCCAATTTCAAGTAAAAGATTTGTGCATAAAAATGTAAAACAACAGTGGAAAAGCTAAGACAATAAGGATACTAATTTGTTAAAAATAATTTTTAAAAAGGGAGGCCCAAACTGTCTTTAACTCCAGTGTACAACATCCATAGTTCTTGCCTATTCCCCTGAAGTTAGCTTACTAATTTTTTTCCACTGCAGAAGTGTGGACATTCCGAACATACCCACTAATTCATATGCAGATCTGTAGCATGAAAAACGTATTTCTCACGCTCCGCAACATTTCTGAAAATTCTTGTAATAGACAATACTAGCATTTGCTGGTGGTTGTAAGCTAAATAGCAAGATGAAAACTTACAGAGAATCAATGATGAAAATTACAAAACAAATCATTACTTAAGTACTTACACAGTGCCAGGGTTACTGAAGAAGGAATAATATACACAAGAAAGATGTGATAGAGAAGATATTAATGTTCCCCAGGATGATGGAAAATAAGAGATGAGAGAAAAAAAAAAAAGAAAACAATGAAATAACAAAATTCAGAGCAATGAACTTAAGTGAAGATGTTACACAAACACCATGCTTCAAAACAATGATATACATAGACAAATAAAAAGGTACAAATGTTAAAGTTCTGTTACATTATTAGGACAATGGTTTTACCTGTTTATTATCTTGAAATTATTTTATGTATTAATGCTGTATTAATCAAGTCTCAAGTTAGTGAATACCAAGAAAAGATCTACCAGTTTTTTACAAAGTACTTTTATAAAATTCATTTTAATGAGTCCTTATTATTATTATATTCCTAACAAAAGGCAGAGTAATGTATTTTAATGTAATATATAGAAATGGATCAGGTTAGAATCCTTTCGAAAATAAAATTTTCTAGTTTCACATGATCAAAGTATATTAACAGCACATGTAATCTCTGTAATGTACATTATCCTGATCATACAAAGGAATATTATATAAAATTTTTCTTTTTTTTGATGTAGTGATTATGATGAAAATATAAGAGGCGCAGAGGATCATTGTAATGGGCTATCTCCCAATTTTCATACCTCTCCCCGTCTCTCACTATTACTATTCATAAGCTATCCCCAGTGACATTAGAACCAGGATGCAGAACTCCATAGTTCTGTTTTTCAGATGACATAATTATTGCTAGAAAGATGTACCTGATTTGATATAGGAAAGGAACTTACATAGCCTAATAAGGGTAGTATTATACAAAATAAATGCATTTGTTTTCCATTATGCATAGAAAAAAGTATAGTTTGCCAAAGAACATGCTATAATTCTAAGTAAATAATAATTCATTATAAACATAGTAAAAGAACTGCTTTCTGATTTAATATTAGCACTGGTGAGTATTGTTGTATTTGCCTATGTCAAAGTACGTTTCATAAACTCAACAGAGGCGGAGTTTCACAGAATGAGGGTGGGAACTGGTCTCAACAGTGCCTGTATTTATTCTTCTCTATTCACAACATAAAGCATTCGCGCCGTGCCTTATTATGTTAAGTAGGAAAACAATTCTGCAAAATAACTTTTCCTGATCAGTTAAACATTTTAAACTTGAGGGGAAATGCTTTATATTAATATGAAGTTGGGACAAAAATGTAGTGTCGTGAAGGGGATCAAGTGGATTTGTTTCAACATAAAGATACCATAAATATTTGAATGTCAATGTACATTTTCATATATTTTAGAAAATGTGCTCAAACAGAACACCCCATCATACCTATTAGTGGCAAATATCCCAACGTGATAGCCAGATGACCTGGCCCTGGTTGTACAGCCCACTGCCCTGTGCCCTAAGCAAGCTGCAATTTGTATAAGCCTCATTTTCCTCAAAGGTGAAACGGACTGCAGTTTTTCTGCTTTTGACTGTTGCTTGTTTTGATGTAGATGTGTTTTCTTTGTTTTGTTTTTTGCTTCAGACTTAAATAAGGGCTTATGCTGAACACATCTAAAGTGCTTCCTATGGCAGCTGTAGCTTATGCACATCAATTTACTCATGTAGTTTCTGTCAAACTCCAGTCATTAAAAACAAGATTAAGTCAAAGTAATAGAAATATGCAGGTGATGCAGCAGAGTGCACATCAAAATTTGATTTCAAAAGGCCAAGGTTCAAAGCTAGGCTCTACACTTAAGAGACATGTGACTTGAGAAAATTATGTAATCTTTCAGCATTCAGAAAATAAGAATTAGACCAAATCATGTATTTATAAACATAGCACAATGCATAGCAATAGCTAATACCAGCATAACACATACTATCACTGAATATGTTAATGAATCTGAATCTTGAGCTTTAAAATATTTAACATAAATGCTTAAATTTATTTCTTCAAATCCCATTTTATCCTTTTTTTTCCCAAATCAAATTGTTGCACTGGAATCTAATAACTAGTCAAAGTTCTTATGTATAAGAAGTTAACTTTAAACAGACAATAAATCAAGGTTTGAGGATGTTTTTATTAATATATGGGGTGCAGTGTGTGTGTCTAAGTAATATAAACTATAAAATCAATGAGACCATTGCCAATCAGAAAAAGATTACTAATTCAACAGTTAATTCTTTTGGATGTGTCCCAAGATAGATATTCCATATTTCCAATTCTACTTTATATTGTGATGGTAAACATATTTCAGAACGTGTTCAAAATAATCAAACTTAATAAGAGTATTTTAAGTTCTCATGTAATGTGATGTTTTATCTAGTTTTAAAGGTAGCAATCATTCGTCACTTTAATATCAATATGAAGAGAATACAAAAGATAAGATTAGAAAGTTACACACCATAGTGACTTTCAATGGCTACACCAAATGTTAATAAGTTGATTATTTCACTTAACTAATTTCAAAGTGCACAGCCTTTCTATTACACACACACATAACTATCCATATAGAAGTGTAAATCTGCCAGCAATGCTAAATTAAAACTCTCCAGAAAAATAAAAAAGGTCCTTAGAGAACTTTAGGAAACACTGGTTTCAAATCAATTTATAAATCAATTCAGTATTATCAATGCAAATGTTAATGCTTTCCTTGTGTCTTTCTCTTTGTTGAGTAATAGTCATAACTGACAGAAATTACATTCCCCAAGCAGTGTTTCTTTTAACCATTACACAGCAAACCCCAAACATATTTTATGACTTAACTTAATATTACTATGTATTACTAAAAAGCAAGTCACCACAACACAGCAATGCAAATCAAACTTATTGTGTTCATTGTACAGTATAACTCATTTGCAAAATTAATTTAATTTTGCAAAAAGTGAGCATTCATGCTGTTTACTCATATATAAATCACCATATTTCCTCTCCAGTAATGTGGATACTAACTTTGTCACGTGTGTTTTCTGTAAAGAAAAAAAGCATTTTAAAATATTATTGCTACACCATTCATTTTTTAGGTCTTCCACAACCAGGTTTTTCAACACAGGAACTATGAGAAGAAATGCAGTCCAAAACAACTAAAATACAGAATACTAAAAGACTTACCTCTTGAAAGCAGTGGCACGTTACAATGCAAAGACATAAGGAAAGGAAAAAAAGATAATATGCTAAACTACCTCATGTAAAACAGATTCCCTTCCAGACTGGAATATAAAGTTCTCTCTGCTATTCACATAGTAAGGAGAGTACATAAAACAGCATACCAAAACCACTAATTTGTACACATGGAAGAAAGATTTAAATTTCTTAAAGTGCCTATCCATTTTTATAAGGAATAAGACAATTTACAAAGTATTAAATATTCTGAAAGTATAACTTCTACATTTCATACTATTGATGAGATGAATAGCTAACTAATTCTTCGTAATGACATTCAGTAAGTTCTTGTTTGTGTCTTATTTTTAGTAATTGTATATAAATTCAGGTGAGACAGCTATCAAGGTGGCAGCTAGCCACTTATCTATATTAAAAACTAAGTCTTCTGGGTACTTTGAGGAAAAAGACAACTCAGGCATTCAACTCACTCTTGTTCTGAACAAGATTATTTTAAAAATAAAAAGCAACTAATGAAAAGCAACAATTCTCAACTTTCAAGAGCTTTCTTTTTGCCAACATTATAAACCCGGGGAAATAGAACAGTAAAAAGTTTGACAGAAAAGCAGTTTGATGACTGATGCAGAAAAAACACTCATTAATACCAGAAAACGCCTACTCTTCCTGGTGACAAATTTCCCATCGACTTAGGTGTAGGATTTATTTTGATTTTCATCATCTAAGGATAGTGAGACAGCATTACAAATTCACCTTAGAATTTCACTACATTGTTTTAAGAATAGCAAAGTTTTCATTGTCCTAACATCTGAAAAACATTTAAAATCAAAACTATTTTAAAGACTTCTTTACAAATGCTAAGCAGTAACTTGTTCGTTAATGATGCAAAACATGAAGTAATCCCTTTTCTCCTAAATTTTGCACAGTGCCGAACATCAGGCATGTGTTTAATAACACTTGTTGATTAAGGAGCTACATAAAGAACCTGCAATTACAGCAGAACTTAATTTCAGCTTGAAAATAAACTTTACATCATTTAAAGTTTAATCACCAAAGTTGTGCTATAAACACAAAGTTGAAGTTCATTTTCAAACTAGTACTTTTCCATAATCTCAACTTATTTTTACCTGTACAGTTTCCCATTGAGAAAACATCTCTTACAAAATTTTAAGAGGTATTAGGAGAAAAGATTTAAGTTAAACACTGACTACCTTCAGTGGATTTTTTTTCCTACTGAGCCTAAAATTTAATAAATATAGTAAACTTTTTCAGCTTTATGTGGGGGTAGTGTTTGAGAGGCAGGCTCTTTCTTTTCAGGTTATCTATTTTGATTACTCTAAAATCTATTCTCTTAAAATTGGCACACAGAAAACAATTACAACCAAACATACCTCAACACTACATACTGTTTCTCTTCCTCACATGAAAGAAGTAATACTCTTTGAAGTACACTAGTTTTCCTTCACAAACACATCTAAACTTTTAAAAGCCACCTACACCCATGAAGCCATATACATTATACAGCCCAGTAGCTGTTCTTCAAGAGTTGCTCAGGGTCTCAGCAGCAGCTGGAACCCTGCCACCTTCTCTTTCAAAGCCTTGCGGTTGCCATGACAGCAGGGCTACAGAAAGCACAGCCTCTTCATTATGTGAATTAGCATTCAGAAGGGATTATGTCTCATCTAAAGGACCTATCCACACAGTTATTTACATTTTCCTGGGAACTGGTACTGAAGAAAACCATCTCATGTGTAGTTTATTTCCTTTTAACGGACAACTCAATAAATCTAATCTAAACAATTTTATGTAAATGATTTTGCCTGTTAAAAGTATCTTCACTGAACACCAAAAAATAAAATGAGCATCTATAAATGAAGTTGGCTGAAAAATAAAGTACAATAAATGTGGGGTTCAACAAGTTTTGAAACGTACCCCCAAAAGGAAAACTAAGTGAATTTTCAAAAATTTCTGCTAAGATCATATGTTGAATGTCTGCTCATTTTAGAAAAATCTCTATAGTGCTTCAAGTGCCATAAACATCTGTTGTTTTCATTACTACTGTGTGTTTTTAAAAATTAAATCCTAGCCTAAGTTTATCTGAAAAGAATGTAATCTGCTTTAAGCTAACGTTTCACCCAGACATGAGTCAAAAACTAATTTATTTTAGAAACTACTTCCTAGAGAAAAAAAAAAAACCTTACAAATTCTTACTTTCCTTTCTCCTTAGGCTGACATATGTAAGCTAAGAAACCTGTATAACACTAAACCTCCAGTGGTCAATAGATGAATGGGAATTTTGAAGAATAAAAATCTAAGATTTGCTTTGCATTATAAGTGCCAGCTGCTCAATACTGCCAAGAGCTGGAAGAGAAGAGTTACAGAGTGTGCTGTCGGTTCAGAATACATCAAAATGTATAATTGGGTTTTGACTGCTTTGGAGGAAGCACTGTGTGTATATAATACAAAGGGCACATGTTACTGAAGCAACTATAACTTCTTCCTGAAAGGAACAACTGATTAGAGGGGATGTACTTTTCTGGAAAAAGCCTGAAAGAGTTCTGAGAAGAGCATAAATCACCCTTGGCCACCTACCCATTTTGCTGTTTACTGTCACCCTGGGATCCTCTTCTCTGTTCCTCTGCTAGCTCCTGAGCAGTCTCGGAACACACGCTGGTGACTGTGGGCTGCCGTGGGACATTAACCGCAGCTTTACCAGCGCTCAGCACAGATGAACACCGGTCAGCACTAAGACTGGCATTAACATGCAGTCCAGATGCAGAGGATGGGGGAGGAGTGAGAGCAGCCACAGGTGGAGGGGAAGAATGTGATGAAGTGGTTGCATGGGCTGGGGTGAAGGCGGACGATGGTGATGGGATGGAGGTGACTTTTGGTGAAGACACAGAACCAAAGGGCCGTGGTGCTTTATTGTAGGCCATGTTGGTGGTGGAAGTGACTTTGGATACAGCAGGAGATGTAATGGGCACAGGTTTAACTACTTCTTTAGGTTCTCCCTATGTGAAATAAAAATAAACATACACATACACAAAAACACACCAAATACATGCAAAATATATCCACTGAAAAGAGCAGACAGCTGACTTTTAAAGAAGACAAACATAACCATGTTAGCAGCTCAAATCTCACATTTCAAGTAATACAGGGTAACACGCATGCTAAGTGGTCCAACATGCATAACGCAGTACATATAATAAGCATATTATCATTTACAAAAATGAAAAGCGTCAAAAATATTTCGGAAACAGCAGCAAAACCATTAAACAGCCTAAAGGACATCATAAGTATTAATTTAGATATATTCCCCAAAGTAGAAGTTCTAAAATAAAGCACAAGGTCCCAAATTCAATCCCTGGTACCAAAAAAAAGGGGGGGGGAGTTCTAAAATACCCCACCATAAAAAAAAAATGGTAAATAAAATGATTTTATTTTAAAGTATCCATGGCCTAAATTATAATTCCATCTTTCAATATGTTTAATTTCTCTCCACAGTGCATTATATGATTCATGCAGAAGCACCAGCATATTTTAAATTCAATTGAAAAAAAAAAAAAAGCACGGAGAATAATTTTCATCTAACTCAAAAATGTTTACATTCTGATTATCTAGAGTCAAGACTCTGAAAAGAAAAAAAATTACATAAACAAAACAAAAATCAATCCTTTCTTTCTCCTATAACCCATTTGTTTTCTCTGAATGTTTTAAGATATGATTGAAAGAATAAAATAGTTTCCCTTTTCAAAAGTAAACTTAATAGTTTCATGAGAGGAAAAGTGTTCTTAGATAGTTCCATATTGCCAGAAACAGAAGAAAATTTAACTAGCATAATTACCTCCTCTTAAAATTACTAGAATTGTGGTAAATTATGTTTATAAAACCTTTTTAGGAAGAAAAAAAAATCAGATTAAGCCTGTATGGTATTCAAAATAAAACCCTATTCATTCTACCATCCCAGAAGAAAAATAGTAAACTTTTCAAGAAAACTTACATGGCCAACTTTATGTTTAGTTAAAAAAAAATCTAAATTGTTTTAGAAATAAGAAAAATGAGGAAAAACAAGTAACTTAAAATGCTAAACACATCAATATAATAAATGACTCATTAAAAAATGAAAGATAAGATATATGTGAGAAAAAAGGGACAATGGCCAATAACATAATCCAAGAATACTTATGTAATTGCTAGATATTGTTAAAGACTTAGTGTGCATTCATTTTAGGCAAATACTTAAATATTATGTTTAATACATGAATAAAGATAGAAATATGAGAAATAAATATAAAGGAAGAAAACCAGGCATAAATTACTAATAATCTGTGGTTCTAGAAATGTTTTATAACACAGGTATAACTACAATGGTAATTCTGTATGTGTTGATTTCTATTCTCCTCTTCATCTTTTATGGAAAAGAACTATGAGAAAAATTGCACTGAGGCTTTAAATAAAATATTCCCATGGCCTAAGAGAGAAACAGAAACTACAGGTGGCTCAGGAGAAACAGTCAAATGGTAACTTAGTGATGCTACATTAGAAACGCACCTTTTGAACAGAAATTGGCTCAGGCTTGGATGTGGCAGATGCTCTGGGGAAAAGAAGAAGAAATCATGAATTTTTGGAAATGGATAGATTTAATCGAATTTTTACGTTAAAATAATTCATAGTTTGGAATGTTCACAATCATCACAATCTTCTAATTAATTCATATAAACCAAATGCTGCAAAACCCAACACCTATAATACACTAAATATTCATACCAGTCTTTGGTTCCCTACAAATTCAAAGTGAGACAAACACCAATCCTATTTGCTAAAACATTCATTTTAATCTTTAAGGCTATTCTGTACCTTAAATGGCAAAGTATAATAAACATTGCTTCCTGATTCCCGAGACTGTCCTCAATCGTATAAACTCAGTTCTCAATCTCTACTAGCTTCTGCCTTTTCTCCTAATATCTATGACCACATCCATGGTACTTGGTTTCTTTGTGAAGAAAGTACATATAAGTATAACATACAAATACTTGCTTATGCTGGTTGAATAGAGTCCCTGAGAATATTTTGTATTTATATTCTTAAGTGTGTATGCACATTAATGTATTTGGTATGCAAAAAAACTAAACTAAGTTATTTCACTAGGCCAGTGTTTCTGAACCTGTTAGTGCTTTCAATGATAACAAACAGCTATGGCACACATGCCAAAGGCTCACCACCACTGCGCTAAGATACACTTTCAGTAAAGGCAATGACTACTGTCCTGTTACTATCTTTGTCTTAGCAAAGTTCCTGACATTTTAGAAGTCATATGTAATCAGCATGAAAGGAAAAGAATGAGGAAAGATAGACAAAAAGCCATGCGTACAACTTGACTAATTACAATTTCAAACAAATTTTAACACATGCATTGTTTTTGCACTCTGTGCCTTTTCATGAGCATGTACTAAACTGTAACAGTACTTGGTTTGAAGCATTTAGCCCATATAATCACAACAATAAGAGTAAAAAGTTCAAATGAGGAACTTCAAAGTTCAAGTAAATTGCTTAGGATGGAGCTGAGGCCTCCTGTTGTTACACATGATAAGATGCTAACAAAATAATCAGGAAAGCCTCAGATGCTTTAAACATGACTTGCTCAGTACTACGGTGCATGTGATTTTCAACTGCCAGATGCAGTGTGACTCCTTTCATATCATTCTGACCTGAGGAGAGCACCTCAAGTGCAGAATCCAAGACACATAAGCATGGCAGGTAGACAGTGAGTGATACTAATTTTATTCTACAAACCATGAGATTGTTTTATTTATAAAGATAACAACACAAACAGAAGACATTAACATAAAATAGTGGGTCTCTACGAGCGTAATGTAGTAATGAAATCTGATCAACATCTTTAGCATCACCTGAATTTTCCAGTAACAGCTCATTTGCTTAGCCATGGCAGGCACTGACAGAAAACTGGCTGGCATAACGAAAGGCCACAATGGATGCTAATATTTGGTTACTGCAGGTTATACCCTGTAGAGCTGCACAAGTTTCCATGTGTACGCCCAGACAGACAATTTGTCTTTTAGCTCACAGTAGTATTATACAAGCAAAGGAAACAAGTTCGGTGGAAACAGGAAGAGTGAAATTTTCCTTTTATTGAAATTTCACAGTAAGATGTAATCACTAAGGATCTACTTATTAAAACCACCCAAGATATTACTGAAAGTTTGCCAAAACCAATTTTCTTATGCATCTGGATACTTTAAGGTACATGCAATAATTGTAGCAACAGAAAAATAAGTCATAGAAAGAACATGGCATTTGATAGTCATTGGGTTTTGAAACTTAAAATGTATCTATTCTATGTACATGAGAACAAGTCCTTTAGTTTTCTATAGCTGTTAATTCTGATTTGAAGTGTGTTAGCAGCAACAACAAAGCCACAGAATTAACTTATTTTGTTGAGAACACCTAGAACAACAAGGACTCTCCACAAATTTTAGTAATGGAACATTCTATTAAAAAATGTTTTTCTGCCGACTGCCTCGCAAGCACAAGGACCCGAGTTCGATCCCCGGTACCAAAAAAAAAAAGTTTGAAATTTTGAATTCCCACAAAAAATTTAAATGTGAAATTTGAATATGTTTGTATTCCAATAAAATCTCTCAAGTACAATGACATGAGTTAAGTAATCAGGGAAAAGGGGGGCTACATGGCCTTAAAATTCCAGGGTTGAATTCATTATATAAACAGCCTGTGGAGGGGGAGGGAAAGACTGGCTCATAATTAAATGTCAAATAAAATGGTTAACACGGGATACAATAAAATTAGTTCTTATTTAAATGCTAACCACCAAATAAGTCACAGAATCATTAAACTTTGAAAAAATGTTCCTTTATTACATGCCGATTAGGTTGTCTCGCTTCTGCTTGAGTATTTCTATAAATTCATAATTTCAGCAAAAATTTCAACTCTTTTGTTAAGTGGTCTTCATTTTAGTGTTTTGCTTTGTTTTTTAGAGTAAACAAAAATCAAGCCATTCACATTAAAATATTTTGAAAAACATTTTAATATACAGTAGCTGTACATAAAATCTATGTCATCTACTGGTTAAATTTTAAATCAGTAGATTACCAAAACCCTATACACAAATGAAATTGTATATGGATTCTTTTCTAGCCCTGAAGATTAAACCCAGGACCTCTGCGCTGAGTTACAACCCCAGCACTTTTATTTTTTATTTCTAAACAAAGTCTCACTGAGTCTCCCACGCTAGGCTAGGCCTTGCAATCCTCCTCCTTCAGCCTCCCAGAGTTCTGTGATTACAGGTGTATTACACCAAGCTACCAATTATAGTCTTACAGTACTAGAACTATGATGGTTCAGGAAACAGCATACACGACAAGTGAAATCTACAAAACAGTTGAATTAAAAAAAGAACTGATTTTTAAATCAGCAAATGTTGCCCAGCATGGTGGCACACACCTGTAATCCCAGCACTCAGGAGGCTGATGAAGGAGAACTGCCATGAGTTCAAGGTCAGCCTGGGATACACAGGGAGGTCAAGGCCAGCCTGAACTAGATAGTGAGACCCTGTCTCAAAAAACAAAACTTAAAATTAAATAAAAAGTAAATATTACTAACCACAAAAGAACAGAATGAAAATATATCAGTTATTCTGTATAATTATACAAAGATTTTTTTAATGCTAAAAAATGCTTTATAAAAACACTAAATAAATGTTGCTGGGAGATCTATGTATTAGTACAGCTCTTTTGGAAAACACTGAGTATTAAAAGCTTGAAGAAAGCTCATGTTCTCTGATATATTCAACTTTTTGAGAATCTATCATAAGGAAATAAAGTCTGAAATAAGTACGCATAAAAATTCATATGCTAGTGCAAAACTGGAATTATTATTAAATATTGCTATTAAATATGCAATGCGCAAATGGTTAAAATATAAGCACATGATGAGACACTGTGCAACAATTAAAATAATTCTTAGAATTCTGCACTGCATGATAAAATGCTTATTCTATGATACAAAGCACACACAGCATGATCAGCCTATGCAAAAAAAAATGGATGGAAACACACCAACATTTTAGGGTAGCTTCTCTGTAAATGCCATTTTTTCTCTTTTGTGTGTTTTCCACATTTTATACACTGTTACTACTTTTTATAATACGGAAAACTATTTCTCAAAGCTTATTTCATGGAAAACTACTTTTCAGAAAAACGAAACACAAAAAATCTTGTTATCAAAGATGTCTGAAAAACATGGAGTTAAGAGTTACATAGTATCATAGTTCCAGGACTTCTCAGAGGCTTTAAATACACATAACGCAGAAAATACTGCAGGGATTGTTGCCTACACACGTTTGAAGAACTCATTATTTAGGAAACATTTCTCAAGTTTGGAGTTGGGGAAAGAGGGGTAGGTCTGGAAAATAATATTTTAAGGAAATAGTAAATCTTTCTGACCTCTGAAATCTTTACTTAAATCTCCCACAAGTAGCTAAAATTATGAAACTGTAACATTTTGGTCCTTAAAATTCTCAAAACCTTTTGTTATATAAATTATCTTTTTCATAAAACTAGTATTTTTTAAAACTGTATCTTGTAAGATACTCAAATACAATTTAACCAATGTTTAAGGAAGAAAACTCCATTTCCTTCCACACATTGCAGTTAAGTCTATTCTCAACGTTTTCTAAGGGGGAAAACCCTAACATATGATTATGGAAACACAAACTTAAGCCTGTTACAATTATCATTCTTTTATTCAAACAAATATTATACTGAGCATTCTATAAGGAATAAATTTCAAAAGATCAGTAAGTGAATAAAAACTGAGGTGCAGTTAAAAAACACCTATTCCCACATTTTTCTCTTCTAATCCCAATAGGATAATCTCCTCCTCTGGAACTACAGTGATCCATCACACGTCCCCTTGTGCAACATGTGAGCTTCAAACTAGAAAGGAGCCTGGCAATGGCTTGGAGCCATGGGCTCCACATTCGCTTACTGTTCTCTTTTCCCTCATATGAAGCCCTGCACAGGAGGAAGCCATGCTGATGAGATACTGGCACCTTGGCTGAGGACCATCCACAGCTTGTGGGACTTAAAGACAAAGCAATTGGAGCGGCTTGGAACAGTGTTGTTGAAAGCTGACTGGTTTTTACAAAAGTAGTAATGACATTAAAGATCCCTAATGCATGGACCGCAGGACTTCTAGCTAAACAACTGAGCATAGTTCTAACAGAGTTATGAAAAACTAGAACTGTGATACACTAGTTAGAACAAGAAACGGAAAAGTTCTTACTGAAATTAGTAATGGCTCCAACATAAATTAAATTCAAAGGAATCAAGCAAAGCTGGTTTTTTGAACACTGAATGAGTCGTACTATCATTAAATTATGCTTTTAACTAACTGATGCATTTTTCTAACACTCTTACAAAGTAACATTTTTGGGGTGTCAATAAAGTAGCCAACACATTTCATGATAATGTTTAAGAATGAGAAGGAAATGGAGTAAGATTCATAAAGATACTATAATTCATATTTCTCATTCTGTCTCAGTGACTCCTTCAACCA